CGCAAACTGTGGCGTATCACAATCACACTATGCCTAGCGTGGGCACAAAGACATAGTTTAAGTAAAGATGTAAATATACGTGTACCGTATAAGCTAATCTAGTATATGATAGCGTTGCATCAAAGTGCAATTATCGATATTAACAAGAAGGACGAGAGAAAAGGAAGGCAAAGTTTGAAGCACATCTTCTCTCCTCCTTCTTCAGTAAAGGAATGCACATTTAAGACAGAAAAAAAAGAGGTAATGTTAAACCTTGAATGCGTATTCCTTAAGCACACAAACTGTCGAAAGAAAAGAGTCTACATTTATGATCTGCAAATGTTGCGTCAGCATGCCCCAACATTTGTCTGAGGCTGGGGGTATTACGTCCGGCGGACTCGCGCGACTCTTTTCTTTCATAAAAATCTCGAATTCTTCGAAACACTAAAATTTTATATTCCTTCCTTTTTTTTTCTCTATCCTAAAAACTAAGAATCCGTTATCTCCTCGTGAATGTCGCTCCGAGATAAAAATCAATATGTATGGAAAGCGTAAGACCGGCCAGATTAACGCCAAGATTAACGATCAAGTCGCGAACGATTCTCGCGAATTCGTAATTATAAAATTTAAGAAACGGCACGCGACGTTTAGGGGTAGATTCTGGGTGGTCCCGTGGCGACGATGCATCCGCGACTTTTCGGGGCCCAAGACGCACGTTTCCCCATAAATCTTAAGGTCATAAAATTTTGGAGTTTCGCTTTCCCACTCTACCGATTCCTGTCAACATCCTTTCTTCCCCCAAAATCTTGACCAATTCAAGAGCAAAAGAAAATCCTACTACCAGCCAACGAAACCTATTCCACCAATCCAAATTTGAGTAATCTGGGGCGATTAGTATAAAAATCGCAATTCCGCCACCCTTGCGGCAGATAGATAGCAGGGCAGATAGATAGTAGACCAGGTAGACAGCAAATTTTTCTCTAACCGGAGTTTCGGAGTTTTACTTGTCCCGGTAAAAACAGCGAGTCGGTCACAATACTCAGAGTTAAAGTAAAATCAGTGAGTTGATAGCGAAACTTTAAGTTCCGATGGAATCAGTGCAACCAATTCTATCATCGGGAATCACCCCAAATCAACAGCCTTAATCGAGGAAGTCCGTTCAACCTACAACATTCGCCACCTTGTCCGCGGTTGGCCATCACCAGTAAGTTCACATTATCTAACCTCGAGTGGTCCCTCCCCGTCTTTCCCTCTTGCTTTTTGGGACCCTCATTAAAACAAAATTTTTTTAGTGCGTTCACGCCGGCAGTTTGCCCCTCGTCGCCGTCGCTTGACGAGAACCGCCCGATCGCGCCGATTCGCCGCCCGCGCCCAGGTTTTCCAGCAAAACCAACTCGCGGTCTCGGAACAGATTCCCCTTATTCAATTCCCCTTAGCTACTCTATCTCCACCCCTCGAAATCTCTTATTCACCAATTTCGAATCCATCCCCTATTCCCCCTGCTAATTTCCCCCCGCATCCACCATCACCCCCTCAGATAGATACCACCCCCTCGATCCTATACCATGGCTATTCTCCCGCTGCTCCCTTCCCCCATCTTTTCCACGATGCTCAGGAACTCTTAGAGTACATGGCACACTCCACCCTCACCCACCAAGATTTGGTCGTCGTGAGGATCCCAGGATCCGACGGCTTTTTCTCGGTGCCAGTAGCGTTCCTCGTCCCCCTCGACCTTTTCTCCCTCAATCCCTATGATCCTAGCTTGTACTAATAGCACCTCCCCCCCCTTTCTTCTTCTCAAATCCATTCGCCAAAACTTCTTTCCTTTTTATTCTGCCGCTATTCTCTCCATAACTCCTTCATTCTGCCACGATACTACACACACACACACACACACACACACACACACACACACACACTCACACACGCACGCATTCATAAAAGCGTACTCGTATGTATGACTCAGAATTGAGATCCAAAAAATTGTATTTACTCGACAAAATTGTATTTATTT